CTTCGATAGGGATAGGAACTCTGACGCCTGTATCATCCCTTCATCTCTTCAACCACGACTTTCATGCTTTCTTGCTTAGAAGAACATAATCCAGTAGGTATTAAGCCTATTGCTTTAATCTCTCTCTCTTGATTACTGGAATGGGGTTGTATGCGCAGATGGTTGCAATCTTCCATATTTATTCCAAACAGGTGGTTTTAGTGGGTTCAGGTCTCACACTATGCAAAAAAAAAAATAAACCAATAGGGGTAACATAAACAAATTCTTAAACAATTTGGCAAGAATGATACGAAAAATTAACAAAGCGATTAGCTATCTATTAAAGCATCTAAATTTGATTTAAGATAACTTGTTGGATTTGTTTTTTTCTTTTGTTATAGCTTAGAATTTCATGAGAGCAATATGGTTGTAAAGCGGTAAAAAAATCATTAATTGAGGTCAGTGGAAAGTTAATGCTGATCTGCTACTGCAACCAATCAACCAACCATTGCATATTCTTTTAGTAGCATTCGTATTGAATTCAGTATTGACTTTTATGACGTCAACAAAGTTCACACCTCAGGCTAATTACATTTTTACTCAACTCAACTTTTGCTTACAAAAAAAACATTTCAATGTCAATTTTTTAATTAAAAATTTCTGTGTTCCGTTTATTATATTCTTTATATAATTTAAAATGTATATGCAAATATTTCATTTAAATAAATATACTTCAACTTTTCATTTAATTTTTTCATAAATCTTTTCTTCTTTCGTTTTCGTGAAAGAACGACGGTTTATTACTGTCATGCAAAATTTAAAATAAAAACCAAAAAGTAATTGTTACGTGTTTGGATTTTTGTTCTTTAATCGCTTAACAAATGCAGAAGAAGAACACAGAGAAAATGACTATTTTTGCACAATTCTCACATATGTTCAAGTTAAAAATACACACAAATTTGCACACTTCATGTATCATGCATGCAACACCGAACACGGAATATGGAATACAGAATACGGAACCCGGCAGACCGCATAGTCACACACAAACTCGGATTTAGAGCCTGAAACTCTGTAACACAGAATGACTATGAACACCGCAGACACAAGCCTTTCACATAAGTTTTTGCACCGGAACACAAATTTCAAGTAGTTTTTGTGTTGCTCATACGTCGAGGCGTACCAATGCGACAGTAAAAACGTAAGCCCTCTCACGACTTGTTGAGTGTTTTATATTTGAGATATTCAACTAAAAATACATATATGCGGAAATTTAAAAAAATAATTTTAATTGTTTTGCATTCTGGTCACAAAAAAAAACCCTAATAAACTTATATGCAAAAAAATGAGTTGAAATTATAAAAATTTCTCTATAAATAACACTTTTTACGTCAGTAGAAATGCGCACCCATTCAAAGAAGTTAATTTATTTTTTTTATTTTTCATTTAGCAAAATTTATCTTTCAATGTGTTCTTTGCGGCTCGTTTCTTACTATTCTATGGATCTCCTTTTTTGAGGATCTTGATCAACTACAAGATCTTCCATCAAATAGCATTTCGAGCTTCGCCAAAGGTTCATGATGATTTTTAAATCTTCAAGTTTTTCCGCTTATAGTAATTAATAACCCAATAGTTCGAAGTTGATCCCTAATGGATCTCCGATATAACCTATCCTAATCTATAGCAGGATCTCTGATATTCATAAAAATCTTTCTATTGAAACTATTACGAAGTATATACAATTTGAAGCATTTAAATCATTCCGTAAAGTCTTCAGTGAAATGGTCATCTTGGAATTTTTTAGCACCACTCAGAAGAGCTCAAATAATGAAGAAAGGTTTAACTGTTATCCTTTCTGCGATAATTTAAACTGAAAGAAATGTTACATAAAAGTTAAGTAGGTTTGTCGATGAAATAAGTCACAACCAAAGGAATCAATAAAAGTACTAACTGTTACCAACTCAATTGAATTACAAATCACAATCTATAAGCTATTGTTTCATTTCGAATATATGTATTCAAAAATAACTACTTTGTTGTCATTAAAGAAAAATTATTTAGAAGGGTTCGAATAGTATTGAAGAAACAACAACTAAGCTTTTAATTAATTTATTGAAATTTGGCTGACCATACAACGCTGTTTCGAGTATTGCCATCAGTGATCTTGAAAATATTCGAATTTTTTATTTAATTAGTTTTAGTCCGTATATAATTAGTGGAACTGCAAGTGCCAGGCTAAGAACTTGTACCTGCCAAATGACAAACTATATCTTATCGGGCTTTTCTACAAATAGTTAAGGTTGCACAAACTTTTAATACTCAAGTTTTAAGTTCAAAAAAGATTTAAATGAAATTCACACCTACAATATATTGACAACAGAGCAACAAAGGTTTTATTTCTACGCCAAGGTATACACGACAAAACATAGGGTCTATTCCAACAAATGATTCACTAATCTGTTACAACAAAAATTAGACTAATAACTAGATATGCACCTCTAAAGAGTTTATTTTCAGTATGCTTAGGACTGCCATTAAGTAAGGTTAATTTATCTTTCTGGCAACATGCTACACTAATCGCTACTGAAGCCAGATGCTAAAAGGAGTTAAAGTTAAATGTCAATGAAGCTGAAGACATCCTACAACTTTCCAAATTATGGAGCCCACAAACACTTTAAATATGTACGGACAAAGTAAGGCATAAATATGATATATTCCAAAGTCTCGTTTATGCTCTTAAGCTGGCACTAGATATAAAGCAGAGAAGCAATTTCATTGATATACCATAGGGAAGTTGTTGTAAGCAAACATTTCAGTTTCCCTAACAGGTGTTAGCCACTGATGATTTTTTCTGTTAAAAACTTGAAAAGTAACGGTACAATATAAAATTTTAAATCAAGATACCTTATCAAGATAGTAGTTAATCTTGTTTCGAGCATTCTGAAAGAAAACCAACTAATGTAAACTTATAATCTTATATTATAATGCTAATTTCTTTTTTCATAGTTTAATATTTAATTCTATAATTATTATGTTATTATTATGTCTATTAACTGCGAGGTTTATTCATAATCCCTCTCTGCGCCTTGACTGGTTTATTGTTTATCACTTCATCAGACTAAGCAATAACTGAGCTCAGGTCTGCATACCTCTCCGCGTAGCCTGTAACCATTCTGAAATTTGATAACGCGGTGTTGGTAAGCCTGTCAGTTTTCGTAAATAATTTCAGGGCTCTATTCTTTATATATTTTTTTAACGGATCAATCTTGAGGTTCTTGAGGATGCCGTACGTCCTAATGTACCATGGTATCTTGAAAAGTCATCTCAGAGCTAAGTTCTTTTTTCATAGTTTTATGTTTAATTCTACAAACTCACAAAAATAAATAAAATGCCATTAATTTTTAATATTTTATTAAAATTATTTAAAAGTATAACAAGAAAATTATTATTATAAAATATTAATCAAAATTTAAAAAATAAAATTCATAATGAATTAATGAAAAAAAAACGTACATATTATTAAAAACTTTTCCCTTTTCTTTTTTATTTAAACCTTATTATTTTTAAATATTTAATTAAATAAACATATTTCATCATATTTGCTTATATTTATCACTAAATTTTTGCAAAGTTTCATTTATTCAATTTCTTATAATTATAATATTTAATACAGATTATCATCATTCATATTGTTTTTTTAATGTATATAAGATTAAAATATTGCTTTTGAAACAATTGCTTATGCTAATTATCGGAATTGTTTTATATTCAATTTTTATTATTTTTTTAAATAATTTTAAGAATTGACTTTAATTGCTGCAATATATTTATTTTACTAAAAAATTATTAACAAATTCCTAATTCAAAATTTTATTTGAATTTCATTTTAAATACATATGTATATATATAGTTTTTTTAATTAACTTGTTTAGAAGATTTATTTTTATATTCAATATAAATATTTTTTTTCTTTTAATATATAAAGTTTTATTTATGTTTTTCTAGTATTTACATACTTTTAGCATAAAATTTGAAAAATTAAAAAATATTTGTGCTCATTTAGTTGCTTTAAATATATTAAATGGATTTTGTTCACATAATCCAAAGAATCCAAAAATAAAAAAAAAAATTATTATTGTTGTAAATATTTATGTAAGATATTGTTTTAACAGCTTTTTATTGGTTATTCAATTTTTACAATTATTTCTGTAAATATAAATTTAATATTTCTGAAGAATTTCAGTGAGGTTTATGTTTATGTTTGATTTTTTCTTCTGATTTTTTTTTTAGTATATAAAATGTGTTATGTCCTTTAAGATCTCATAAATCTTAACCTTAATCTTCTAGCAAATATATTTGCGTTCAAAGGTTTGAAGTGGTAAGAGGATATTTATTAAGGGTGCAAGTTTTTCTCTCAATTTGCTTACATTATAGTCTATATATATGTATATATATCATTTCTTATAAATTATTATAATTAGCATAGATACTTTTTATTTATCGAAGCAAATGATAATAAAGCTGAAACGCATATAGAATAGAAATTAAATCAGTATGATGGATTGATTTACAGTTTTCTTAAAAAATGTAGCGTTTGCGGAAGAAGTTCAACTGATTTAGATATTTCTTAAATATTGTTTATTTTTCAATTATCTATACTCACGCTAAATCATGCTATGCTAACAATAAGGCTAATTGTGCTAATATCAAATATTTTTTAAACTACGGATACATATTGATTCTATTAAATTTATTATTATTAAAGGCTTTTCGTAAAATTTTAATTTTATATATTTATATATATATATAATATATTCTCGCTTAAATATTGGTGTATTTCTTTTTTTTTCTTGTTTGTTTAATTGATTTATTTTTAATTGCTATGAACATTTTTATTTATTTAAGACTAAAGCTTAACTTCCTTTATTTAAAAATTATTATCTTATTTATCATTAAATTGATTTTAATCAGTTTGAATATGATTTAGAAAAGATTTGATTTTCACAAAACATTTTCCCAAACTCACTTTATACTTGTGCTTTTAAAATCTAGAATCAATATCAAATATCTTTTTAAAAGAGTATATATAACAATGCTTAACGTTGCTCTCGAATATATCTTCCTTGACAATCTTTTAGAGAAAGATTTCTTTAAATAATTGAGTAAATTTCAATTTAAGTGTATCCTAAAGCTTTTTAGTTAAAAATATAAGAAGAAAATTATTGCTTTGGAAAAATTTATTATTTAAGTGAGTTTAAAAGATTTAAGGTAATCATTGTGATGTTTTAACCACCACCTAAACTTAACGCCTGAACTATACGTGGATCAGCTTTACTACCCTCACGAAATTCTTCTAATGTTAATTTACCATCGTGATTCTTATCCATTTGATCAAATATTTTATCCACTCTCTTCTGTGGCGTATTCTCATCTTCCGCTTGCGGTTGCTGACCCTAGAAATAAATGTATAGAAATTTAAAGTAATTACTACTAGGGTCTTCAAATATATATAATATATAAAACAAACTTTAATAACTATATAAATAGTGATTATAATTAGTTTAGATACTACTATAAAAATGATAGAGATAGTTTTGAAAAACTATTTGTATAAACCTAAAAATAAATAGGTTTATTATCTAAGTATATAACAATATTTATTACTATACTATTAAATATAATATAGTTTTAATATTATAGGTATTACTAAAGGATAATATAAAATCTAAAGACAATCTCCAGCGTAGAAACACTTGGGACTTTCTTACTAAAATAGTAAAGAAATTTATGTGTATAACTGACATTTTCTAATTTTGTTTCAGAGCAAATTGTTTTCTACCATATAATAATAGCATGGATTTTACTGAATTTACTGAAGATAAAGCTTTATTTGCACTGCACTGTACTAAGGATAAAGAAACTCGTAACAATTTCTTATGTCGTTAAAATGACAGATCTTTTACGTCTATTTAACAACTACCAATATGCTGAGGTTAAATAAAATGAGTCTCATGCTCTTTTAAGCCGAAATAACAATTTTAGGCTTTAAGCGGACTAATCTTGTTAAGATAAGAACGAAGGCTAAGATATGCAGCCAAGCAACCTGTCAACAATTTTATCTCCGTCTTAATGAGAAGAAACATCTCTTTGTGAATCATAAATTTTCAACAAGTTACTTTTTTCAGCTATATTTTTAAATTTCGTTTTGAGGTTAAATCATATAGAATATATATTAGAAACATAGACCGATTTTAGATCAGTGTCTTAGTCAGGCACTTAGAATTATCGTTGCACAATTACATTTTTATAGAAATTGCAACTGTTTGGAATGATAAGAAGGTTTTATTAAATATTTTAATTTATGAGCTTTGTAAGTTAGCTAGTAAATAGTTAATATCAGGCAAACAAACTAATAGAATAACAGGTGAAAAGATAGTTGTAATTAGAGATAAATGTGAATAATAAGGTTTCGAATGCCTTACAAAAGTACCTAATGGCGAAGTATCTAACGGAATAGAAAAGTGAATGTTGACGTACCATAATTACATACATGCGAACTACAGGTTCGTCTTGAACTTCTTGTTTACTGCATTACAAATCTGTGATGTATCTAATGCTACAGTGAATGGTCAACTATCGTAGTGCGGGATATATACGAATTGCAGGATTTCGAACGTTTCTTTCATTGTATTACATATCTTTTGTGTATCTCATACAATAGTGAATGATCAGCTATCATAGTTCGGCATATATACGAATTGTAGGGTTTCGAACCACGGTTTCACAAATCACTGTATTCACGGTATTTAATGTTATAGTAAATGGTCACAACATCTGTTGCTTTCAATCCTTCTACAATAGTATTTCCATATTCTGGAAGATGTTTTTTCCTTTTAATTCAAAAAAACTGTGCCTATGACGAGTACTGTCAACAGTATATTCTATAAGAGTTTATTCTAAACTAGTGCTGAAACGCTTCAAAATCGCGAAGTATAACTTACCATCAGTATAAATATCCAGGAATATAAATATGTGCACTCTTCTCAATGAATTGGTATGGAAATCGAAGACTGAAACTTCAGCCTGAATCCAATAGTTATTTAAAAGCTCAATATTTTTATTTAATATTTAATAACCAAGTATAGTTATTAAATATGTCTGGCTAATTTCAATTAATATTCCATATTAAAATGTAGACTTATTGTAAATGCACTCTAAATTAATAGCAATAATTTCTGACATCATAATAAAAATTAAACTATTTTATAAAATATTTTTAGAATCAATTATTAACTAAATAGACAAATAAAAATTAATAAATAAGATGGAGAAAAGTCTAAATATATTTGATAAATTATTTTCACTTTTTTGAAGATGACTTGAAACATTCCAAATTATAATGTTATTAGTTATCTGTACATTTGCTTATTTTTAAGAAACACTTCATTAACCTCATCTATAATTTCTTCTACTACATTAATATAATTTATTATTTAAAGAGCAACAAAAGCATATTGTACTACACTTACCACCATCTGATAAATTGCATCAACAATGTTGTACATTTCCTCTCTTGTTATGTAGCCATCGTTGTCCACATCGTATAATCTGAATGCCCCTGTAAATGATTAATAGCACGGAATACATTAAATTTATATTAAAAATGCAAATTTAACCAAAGAAATATTAGAGTCAATTTTGAAAAGGGGAGAATAAACGAAATGATTGCTTGAAAGATTCTATTGATTGGTTTGATAATTTATTATATATATTTTTTTTATATTTATAATTTCTTTATTTTTGTTTTTTTTTTTTTTGTAAATATTAATATCAATTTAATTTTTTGTTTTATATATCCTTAAATATACAAAAATGTAATTAAATTACAATTATTACTTATAATTTATTATTATATTATTATTAACAATTTCATGCACTTTAAAATAAAATTTGGCGCTTTTAATAATACTTACAATATGCATTAGTTTATAGCAACTGAATTACAACCAAACATACATAAATATATAATTTATTCTGAATATTTATAAATAATTCCAAAAGATTTATTTTGTTTTGAAACATTTAAACTTAATGCTTTTATTTGCATTATTAAAAGAATTTAGCACACAAAAAAAAAATATGTAATAAAATTTATGTAGCAAAAAATACGCATAAAAGTGATATTAGTCGGTCGTAAAGTGGAATGATATTCGGGTATAAAAGACACGCCAATTATGCATACTTCTGCATTTATGGATACATAACCTCAAACATAAATCATTTTTCTTCTACGAAAATAACAAAATAAAGCAAATAGCCAACAACACAAGAAATAAAGCGATAAATCTTTAATACATAAACAATTACAAATACCAATAAAAATGTTAAAAAGAACAACATAAATTTTTCTTTGGCGGACATGTTTTATTGTACAATTTTATTTGATTTTCTTTTTTTTTTTTCTTTTTCATTTTGTTTTCTTTGTGTCTTCTATGATTTCTCCACAACTTACATTGTAATTTCTCATCCAAATTTCCTTTCGATGTTACCGACAAAGCCCGTATAAATTCTTCAAATTCTATTGAACCATCCTAAAAACACAGAAAACAGAAAAACCATTAAAATCAGAGTAGTTAGAAAAAAAAAAATTAAAAAGACAAAACCTATTGCTAGATAAACAATTGGAAAGAAAGTAGCTAGAAAAATTATTGCGAGACATTTCTGAAAATATAACCTCAAAGTTTTGTAATTAGTTTTGAACGAAATTAGTCAATAAATCAAACACTGAACCGCCAAAGTAGCAAACGGAACAGGACAACTGAGAGAAAAGTTTATTAGCTCAAACATTTACGCGATGCGATGAGACGAGACGAGACGAAACGCTTTACTTAAGCAGACTAAACTATGCAATCTAATAACGATTAATTCACTCTGGGTTGAGTGCTCATAGGAATTGATTTATTTTCATAAGGTTCAGTAAGTAAGTCGGAAACGAGAAGTAGCTCCAAATAACTCTGTGCTAATTGTTACTTTTTATTGATTGTGTCAGTTATGCTGGTTGGAAAAAACTTCAGTAAATTGTTAATTACTATAATATAACTTAATTAAGTAATTAAGAAATAATCAACTTAATCTTAGGCACATTAACAGAAAAGAGTACATATTCACAAAAAACGGAATGAAAAACAGAAATGAATTATTTTTAGCTTTAGTATTAGGAAAGTAATTAAAAAATTTTGAATAAACTAAGAATTGGCGTTTAAATACATGATTTTTTACATTTTTCTTTTACATACAAAGAAGTTACATTCTTTTAAACATAGATTAAAACTAACAGCAGTGTAGCGACCTTAATTCTAGCAACACTGAGGCTAAAATACGTACGCAGAATATATGTCAGGACTGTTTAATAAAATAAACATTTTTAAAAATTACTAATGTAATCAAAAATAGCCCTTCCTTTCGAGCAATTTAATTAATTATTAATTAATTAAATATGAGTTTGATTTTAAAACAAAAAAACATCACTTTAAAGTAACAGACTTTCTACAATGACACATAAACACTAAAAATTATTTGAAGAAAAAAAATTGAAAACAACTATGTAATTAATTAAAAATTTAATAAAATATTGAAAAACCTAATACAAGTAAATACAATGAAAACTTAATAGCAAAGAAATTTGCTACGCTTTCCCTATTCTTATCCATTCTTATCTATTCTTATCCACGACACAGCCTTTCAAGTCTTCTTGATATACCTACATTAACAAAATCAAGAGTTCAAATGGTAGCAAAGCTTATAGCTTCTTAAGGATCATGTCCCATCTAACAACCTTCTTTCAAGCCTTCTATGTATATTAAATAAATCAAAGGCTGAGATAGCAGCAAAGCTTATAGCTTCTTAAAGTAGCAAACATATTATTATATTATTCAGTTTCAATACAGTCCAATATTCTTCAAACATTTTAGTGTCATATTCCATCAAAGAACCTCTACTAACCTTTTCCGGCCTTCTTGGTGTATCTTAACGAAATCATGGTTAAGATTGCAGCAAAGGTTCTAACTTCTTCTAGAACTAATGCCCTAGAAAATTTTTGGTAATGTTAAAATTTTCGAAACTAGCCAACTCAAGTGTGTTCAATGTATAATACCAAATAAAAACAATATCTATGCCGAGTAGTTTTACAGTAATCCTTTAATGAATCAATAGTGTTCCTAGTGTCTATAATTTTTTTTGTCACTAAAGAAATCAGAATTGTCAATATTAAAGCAATACCGTCCTTTACGTTCATATTCAGTTTGGTTGGTTGGTTGGTTGGTTGCAGTAGGAGCTATGCATGTAACTTTCCACTGACTGCAATTAATGATTTGCCACCGTTTTTCTGTCGCATCAAGCCAAAATCTAAATCCATTCTATTAAATTAAGATAAATTAATAGATCTTTCGGTCTCACCAAAGAAGAGTCTGATAAATTGTTAATAAAGTACCTATTTCTTCAAGAGCACTAATCAGCTTAATTTTCATTTGATTAAAATTGCATTTGATCAAATGCATTCGTATTTCACTACGAAATTTGTTAAATTATTTGATAATTAAATTTCCTTGTGTCTTAGCCAAAAATTTCATTAGAACACCAAACCAACCAATAATAACGCACTGCAGCACAAAATTAATTTAAATTTGCTTATGCATTATTTAACTTTATTTAAAGTACACATATGGGCGGTTACGCTACTTAATTTCAAACTAACTTAATTTGACTCGCGCTCAAGTCAAATCCCTCAAAACCCCTTCAAATCGTATAAACTAAGTTGGGCATTTATTTATTCATATTTATACGAGTACATTCATACTTACGTTATTCTCGTCGAAAACGCGAAACACAAGCGACGCAAATTTGCTGGGATCTCCTTGTGGAAAGAATTGTTTGTAGATTTTAATAAAACCCTAAGGAGAGTACACCCGCGTGCAGACAAACACACACGCATACATATGAACGGTAAACAAGCCAGCAAACAATCGTAATATACGGCGTACGTATGAATACATGATAAGCATTAAATTGCACATAAATTCATGTACATGTACATGTAGATGTAGATGTTTGTAAGTGTGCGGTGAAATATATGCATTTGTATATGGGTTTTTGAGTTTCGTTGATATTTGTTAAACCACAACCACAAAGGCAGCAGCAAGCACCGCAGCAAGGCAACAACATAGCACAATAGCATATATGAGGCAGCAAAAATAGTAACGGCAGTGACATTCACATTAGAAAATGGCGTCGTCGGCAGCAGAATATTTCATTTGATCAAATGTCACATTATGTACACATTGTTGTTAATGGTTTGTTGTTTTTATTTTTGTTGTTTGATTATTGTTGTTATTAGTGTAGCATTAGTTGTAAAATATTTTATTGTGTACAGTTGACAAGTGAGAGCGAAGCGTTGCCACATTGCAGAATGTGCGAATAACAACATAAATTTTGTATAAGCGCCAAAGCGTCGACAATTTTAATAATTCCAAAGGATTTTTATTTTTATTCGCACAAAAATTGTTAAAAATAAATTGTAATTTAATTTTCAATAATATTTTTATTTCGGAAATTGACATTTCATTATTTTTATGATAGCGTGCCACACGTGTTTAATTGTTGACATTAACATTTTGGTTTGTTTGTGGTTTCGTTGATTAAAAAAAATAAAAAGAGAAATATAGAAAAAAAGAATAGTTAAAAATAAGTCATTAAAAACGATTTAATTGTAATTTTTGTTAGTCAAAATAATACTTACTTGCTCTGTTAGCAAGCCATTCGGACAGTCTTTGAGAAATCCTTTATGCCTTGTTTAAAAAAATTACGAAAATATTAATTAAATGTAATATTATGTAGATTTCTAAATGAAACTTTTGATATAATAATGAAATTAGAAGCAAATTCAAAAGAATATAAATTAATTATTGGAAAGATCTACTAAGCACTAGTTACTTACCATTGTCTTATTTCCTTTTCTGTAACTGAAATAAAAGAAAATAATATAAGTTATACACTCGTATCATATTATTGTTAAAAAAACAAATAATAATAAAGTTAATCAAAAAAATTTGTTTGATACACATTTTCATTAGATCAAAATTATAAAGCATTTTATTTAACAATTTATTTTCAAAATAATTTTTAATAATTTTTTTTGTAATCAGTCATTAATGTCAAGATGGAAGATATAAGTGTCGTGTTGATGAAAGACAGTATAAAGCCTATCTTTCCTAGTCTTGAACCCTAATGATTAGCTTGTTCATCAGTGCTGGGCACTCCCCAAGCACATGGTATGCAGTTTCTCCCTCTTCTCTACAGTATTTAATACATAGCATAAACGTTTTAAACATTTTTGTAAATCTAAAATGCAACTCTTTAACTGTAATTTCTTTGAATTATTTTTTTTTATTTTTCTGAACAATCAAAAATTACTGTCTACAAGTCTGTTGTCATGCCTGTTTTTCTATAAAGTATATAGTCTTGAAGCTTTGACAGTAACCAACAGTGATGAGAAATTGTTAGGAGCATTTGAAACAAAAATCTATGGAATGTCTATGGTCCCTTACACGTTAGCAACAAGTATCAAATTAAATGGAACCTTTCTAGCCGAAACACTTTTTTTTATTCGCACGATATCACCAAGCCAGCGAAGCCGCTTTAAATTTCTATGTTAATGTCCCGGTACAGAGCGTACAAAAAAAAGCGCTCCGGTTAAAATGGAGTTCGAGAAGGTATCCACTGGTTGAAAGAGCAGTAAAAAATGACTGCATCTAAAGTGGCAAGACCAAGTGGCCAACGACTTGAAGGCATATGGTACTATCAACTTACAACTGCAAGCCACTGATTAGGTTGGCTGACGGAGACTACCTCATTCTCCGTCACCTACTTAATCCTACTTGGATGCACCCAAGTACGACTCACGTCTCTAATGACCAACTAAGTAAGTAAGTAAGTTTATTTCGGCCAAATGAGAACTCTTTCGGCTACAGAAATATAAAAGTATATTGTATGATCTATTAAGTGTGTGTAAAATTAAATATATACTCCATTTCAAAATTAATAAATGAATCCTTCGAATGTTTTCAAATACCCCATAAATGTTAAAAAAAAGTGTTATAGTAGATGATAAATAAAATAAATATAAAAATAATTGTATTATTAAATCAATGAATTTCATTCAAAAAATTTTCAAATAAATTTACAAAATTGATAAATGTTCAACAGTTTACAGTCTATAATAATCCTTTACCTAAATGAGCAATGGCTCGCATGTTCCACTCTATTAGTTTTCAGAAAACAATTTATTTAAATACGATTGATTGTATCATTAACTACATAATTGACAAGTCGTGAGTAAATGACCTAAATACTACATCTGTACGTCAACAAAAACGTAACGAAATTGCATACATATTTTCTATAATTACTTTCCGGTTCACACTACAACTTCAATGGTAGCGCTTCAATAGAAGCGAACACTCTTACAATAAAAGTCACTTCTGCTCAGCTATTACCAATACTAAAAGTTTTAGATATTCTAGTAAAATGTATGCAACCACCCTTTCGATGTATTTACAATTGTTGACTCAATGTGTATTTCTATTTTATTCTGAAATTATAAACGTCGCCAGCAAGTGCTTATACCCACTAAAACGCAAAGTGCATATCAAATGGAAGAGTAGTTATTAAAGTAATTGTTGTCATTACGATTGTCTGCTTTAGCTTGAATGCGTTCATTGGCCCTCTAAAGCTAACTCCATCATTAGATTTAGTAGTCTATAATTTTTTATAGCATTTCTTTTTGTGACGGATGACGTGTATTCCAAGTAATCCCGCTGTACTTATGCAGAATGCAGAGAATCATTTGTATCAACACTAACTAACATAAAGACAACATAACATAAAAATGGCATAAAGACAGAAAGCAAAACGGACAAATAGTCATAAAAATGTGCAATTTTGCAGTTTGTTTTTCATACACTAAATGGCTGCTAACAAGTTAACTTGAACAAAGGACGTAAGCACATAGACTACTGTTCTAACAAACGAGCACACAAATTCCTAGCAGCTAATGCAACTGCTCCTCAACTGCTTCTGACAACAAACAACTAAAGCAATTCTAAGAAATCAAATCCGAGCACTGTAGCCTTTCGGCATTGCCAACATCCCACAATTACTTGTGCATGCTTTCCGACATTTTTTGCTTTGAACATGAAAAAAATATACTTTGATTGAATGCATTTATTTATCCTTTATCCTTTGACTTCATGCAAATGCATCAATGTCCTTTTACTGGTTTATTTATAGTATTTTTTACGCTCCATACTAGCTACACTACATCTATAATCGTAGTGAATATCCTTTTTGGTATTTCGTATTTCTTTCAGAATATTTTTCTTGGCCTTCATTTTACAAGAAATTCTGCCACATTAAAAATGCAACATCTCAAAATGGCACGATTGCACTGGTTGTTGATTTTGACCAACAAAAGAATTCAATTGCAAGCAACATTTTTAAACCCACATTTTTCCATCAGCAATCGTACACATGTATCTCGTAGCTCGTATATGTCTGCATATGTATCTGATGTGAAATATATGGCGATATTTTTATTTTTAACTCGCAGTATGTTTGTTTGCGCATTTTTATATTTTATACAGCCTCAGCAATGTAACTGTTTCCGCAGGATATACTTGATGATGTCTTGACTTTTTGCTGACATCAATGAATGATCCAATAAAAATGTAACAAAAAACTTATGCATACGACAATATATAATAAATACTAAATTGCTTTTTTAAACGAAATTATTTTTTTTAATATGCCGGGATATATGATTAAGGCACATAAAATATGAATCTTTTTATCTGGGAATAGTACGAAGACATCATTATAATGAAGAACTTAAAGCAAAGTAAACTAAAGTCTTACAATGGGAAGTACTTCAGAGTCGAGGAATGGGGTCCAAAGATATGATTGTTATAACTCATAATTATGTTTTGATTTAAAATATAGTCTCTGATATTAGTATTAGTATATAGTATGAAATCATATAGTGTGCAAAACAAACTCGGGCGTTTAAAACACAACTTCGAACCAAAAAAAAAAATGGATATTATTGCCGAAGCGAAAATCGGAACCGAACCGAAAAAATATATTGGTTTATATCGGTTTAGCGTTGCAAAGTTTAAAAGATTTTTAGTCTCGAAAGTTATTCCGTAGTTATAGTTTTCTTATAAAACTGAAGTGAAAATCGAAAAAACCATTATACTTGTCGGAACAAATAACCGGAACCAAACCGATAAAATATATATATATATATATATATATCGGCTCAGCGCTGTAAAGTTCAATGGTTTGTTAATCAAGTTTATTTTTTAGTTTTAATTTTCTTATAAAAAAAAATATTAGGAAAAACTGAACTGAAAACTAATGAAATCATTACTCCTATTCATTTATTATAACCCGATTCGAATAGATAAATATATTTTGTAGGAACCGTAACGAAACCAGAAATAAAAAATTGTCTGTTTCGATGCTCTAATTATATACCTTGTTAAAATCCAAATTGCAATACCAATATATTTTGAAAAGAAATTCCATTATAAATAAATAAAATACTTATTATGAAAATGATATTTTTAATATAATCTAATAGAATATAATTTTATATAATATAGTGTAATACAATGTAATATAAAATATTATACTAAAAATTATACATAATGTCCTCTGTGGAATAAAATTGTTATTATTTAAAAAAATTAAATTTTCATTTATAATTTACGCTATCATTCAAACATAACATAATATATGAATTTTGTAATGTACATGCTACTTTAGCAGATTATATATTACAGTAATTTTGCATATTGTAGTTAACAGATATATACATTAACGCTTGATACAGTCATAATAATAATGTTTCCTTTCAAGAAATTGTTTCAGCCATTAGAAGAACAATAATTATGCAAATAGCATAATGTGTGCATAAAGCCATTACTCGCACATATCATTTCATGTCAAGCATATTGAGACTCGTATGCAATGTTATTAACATACACATTACAGCTTACAAACAGACAAATTAAATTTTTAACAGATCTTGATATTGCTGTAAAAACCAACACAGATCCATAAAACCAACAATTTGAAATCAAAATTATGTTTGAACAATTTATTATAGGAAATTTTATGTAAATGCTTAATACACATTTCACTTATATATCTGAATTTAAATTAATTTTCTTATAATTTAACCAAGCAAAAGTAATTTATTACAACCACTGCTTCCTTCGTTCATTGATGCCACAATATTGCATCAGTAAGAGATATGATGCTCGAATTCAAGGCACAGGATATATCAACTGTCAATCATTCGTAACAGCACAGTAAGGACACTTGCAACGAGCAAAGATCGATGAAGGTGATAAATAATCCACCAGAAAATTGCAATTGCATCAACAAGCCTTTTCCCACTTTTCTGAAACTAAGGGAGAATGACAAACGTCAGCAGCAGAAGAAATAAAACTTCAAGAAGCAAAGGACGAAATGCAACAAGAATAAGGATTAATGGTATAGAAATTTATGAGTGATTGGGTAGTTTAAATTTTGTTGCTTCATTAGTTTGGAACTTTAGCATAAACTTAATATTAATATTTATTTATGTTAATAATTGCACATAAAATAAATTGTGCTATAAAAATTTTGTCACTCGACTATAATAAAGTCCCGAAATAAGCATTTTAGAATAAAATATTTTACTACCAAACACTTAACTACAATATTTAACACTTAAAGTCTGCAAATTTTGTATAAAAGAAAACTTTATTGTTTAAAATTTTATATATAATAAAAACAAATCTTTATTACCGCAAAGGCAATAAAAGAAGTTATAAAAGATTAAAAAATTTTTAATGTCATTTTAATTTTAATACATAATAAAAACTACTTTGAACGCTTTGCATATTTTGAGTATGTT